CCCTCCCTCTTCTCTCAGATCCATACCATCTGTGTCTTCTCTTCCTCCACTTGTTTCAGAGCCTGAAAGGGCCTCCAGAGGCGAAGGACCTCGAGCGAGGCCGGCTTCTCTTCTTCCCAGCGAGCCGGGAAGCGAGCCGGCGTCGTCAAGACCCAAGCTGGCTCCGTCGGAAGAGCTACCGAGTCAGACCGGGCGCGTGCTGTCAGCAGTGCGAGAGATAGAGGGAGGGAGGATTCGATCCTTTGACGACGTCCCACATTGTATTCTGAGGAGGGCTGCGAGTAGCTCCTCGGCCGCGCCACCGAGTCCGGGGCCCCCCGCTCTCGAGAGGGGGAGATCCAGATCTCCACCGAGGGAGGCTCCAGAGTCGGGGGGGCAGCCTGAGGATGACCCAGACCTCAGCGCCTGGTGCTCTCTTCAGCCCGACGAGGCCCAAGACGAGATTCTGTGGGGGGAACTCTGTGGATGGTATCACTGGGGCCCCAAGGCCTTCGGAGAGAGTTATCCTAACTACCCTCGTCCTTCTCCCGAGTCGTCGTCGTCTGATCCTCCTCCCGCCCGCCGAGGGGCCGAAGTCAACCTGGGGAATTTTAGCGAGGAGGAGAGGAGTTTGTTTTCTTTTTTCCGATACTAAGGAGTGGACCAGTATCCTGCAGTCCGGGGCTGTCCGAGTCGCGTCGGCCCAAGAGGCCCAGATCATCAGAAGACGCCGCCCACATCGCATCCTCGGATCGAGAATGGTCAGGAGATTCAAGCCCCAAGAGGGCGTCGGAGCGGCCCCAGAGGCCAAGTCGAGATGGTGCGTCCAAGGGCATCATGGCCCGGACGCTGCGGATCTGCAGATTTATGCACCGACGCCGCAGGCCGAGAGCCTGATGTTGACCCTTCAAGCTATAGCTTCGCTCGGGTGGGCACTCGAGGTGGCGGACGCAAAGAACGCGTTTTGCCAGAGTGATCGTTTGAGGAGGCCGTCCGGAGCTATCTTCTGTGAGCCGTGCCACGGTTTAGACTTCGCCCCGGGGGATCTTGTGGAATTGGTCGCGCCGGTATACGGCCTTAATGACGCCCCCCCATCCTGTGGCGCAGAACCCTCGCGGATTTTCCCGTTCCGGATGGCTTCGAGAAATCGCTTCTGGAGCCTTGTTTCTGGGTGAAACGTAGTGCGACGGGGTCCCCTCTTTCGATCATCCTCATAGAGGTGGATGATTTGATTCTGGCGTCAGATCCACCCGAGCGAGAGGGGCTCCGCTCGAGACTGACGGGCCGTTTTAAGTTTGGGAAGTGGAAGGTCGGTTAGTCCGACTTCGCAGGCCGTCAATTGAGACAGGTCTCAGGCGGGGAGATTCTCGTTGATCAGAAGAAATACATTCTCGAACAGTTGAAGGCCATGAGACTTGATAAGAGTCCCAGAAGCGACCTGCAGGCTCTGTTGACTAGTGACGAGATCAAGGGTTACAGAACCATGATCGCGCGGATTCAGTGGCTGGCGAGGGAAACTAGACCGGATGTTGCGGGAGGGGCTTCTCTTCAATCTGCGGCGCTCCCGACTCCCACTGTCGAGGACGCCTTGCTGCGTTGTAAGATCGTTCGGCATCGAGTCTAGCGCGTCTCAGCACGTAGTGATCTGGCCGATCGATCCTCTCACGGTTACGTTTGCCGCGATTTCTGACGCCGGTGGGCCAGGGTATGCCCGCCGAGAGGGGGCTCAAGGGGCTTTTCTCGTCGTCGCGGCGGACGCAGAGATCAGAGGAAATAAGAGAGCTCGAGCTTCCCTTCTTGCCTGGCGATCCAGCCGTCTCAAGAGAGTAGTTTCATCCACCAGTGCCGCGGAGACCCTGAGTCTCTCATCAGCGCTCGCAGAGGCGCAGTGGATAAGATATTGTGGCGTGATTTGTTGTTCGGTGACGTGAGAAAGCCCGATTGGCATCTTGGTCAGTCTCCTTTCTCGGTCATCCTCAGCTCTCATTGCTCTCTGGCAGAGAGCGCGTCCACGATATCGGTAGTTGACGCGAAATGCGTCTTTGACACTCTCAGTAGGAACAGTGCTGGCTCGAGACAAGATAGACGAAGCGCGATGGAACTTGCCGTGGTGAGAGATGCGATGAGTCCCCTCGGATCCCAAATGCGATGGGTGCCCCGCGGCCGCATGGCGGCCGACAGCTTAACTAAGGCCGACCCCTCGAAAGGCAACCTCGCCCTGGCTGGTTTACTTTGCCGCGGAACAGTCTGCTTGGTTGGCGAAGATAACCGCCTCTCGGAACGTGCGCTGAACTCGTCCGTGAAAAGCCGCTCGCGACAAGCTTCCAGGAGGGAGCTGGCCCGAGAGGCCGAGAGCAGGACTCAAGAGTGTGTGACTGGCTTCGGGGGTATCGAGAGTTCGCCCGTGAGAGGGGAGGCATCCCAATCCTTGTCTGTCCCACTAAAAGTGGTCCCGCTGTCGTGTATCTCCACCCCACCCCCAATGCTCTTTGGAACATATAGGATTGCTGATGGGTTTGCCACAGCCACTTTGGCTTAGATGTGTGCGCGCACGAGGAGCGTGTGTACTGCCCAGGACCTCCGGGGCCGACTGAAAAGATCCTTTTGCATTCCATGCATCCTTGTCGCTCACATGTCTTCCAACAAGACTGGGTGCCACTTGATAGCCTGGCGTGGCTTGCCTCCCACGAGCACACACACAGACGCACGCACGCACGCGCGCACACACACACACCCACACTCACCTTCACACTCACACACACATTCATACTCACCTTTGCATTCACACTCACACTCACACTCACAATCGCACTCACACTCATACTCACACTCACACGCGCGCTCACACTCACACTCACACTCGCACGCACACGCACACGCACACGCACACTCACATTGACACTCACACTCACACTCGCACTCACACTCACACACTCACACATATATTTCTGTATATTATATATGTATTTGTGTGTAGTTCGAGTCTGCAGATGGATGAATGCACTAGTACATCGACAACCATGTACACATTTGTATGTCTGTGTAAGTTTTATATGGAGATTGAGAGATATAAACGCACAGTGATATATATATATATACACACATATTTACCATATATACATATAGACATACTCACAAACATGTGTGTCCATATACATTTATATATGTATATACGCGTGAATAGTTATATACACATGTATATACTCAGGTATGTAGATATATAAGCAGATAGCCTATACATGAACAAGACTGCATTGGCGCAGCGCGCCATGGGCTTTGTTCCGGACGCTTCCCCGGCAAAGCAATACATCATCGCTTGCTTCAGCACCGTTCCTCATGGAAGGAGGAAGGGATAACAGTTTCGTCCTGCTTTTCATCTGCCACCTCCAAGGACTATCCCTACCCATCCCTTCCTCCTCCTTTCCTCCTCTTCCGCCTCCTCCGGTGGTTGAGTCCATCCTTTGAGGAAATAATAAGGAGCGTTCCCATTACACGCCGAAGAACTCGCTTCGAACAATCGATTTGCAGTCGTTTCCTGAATACCTCGAGGTCTCCAGGCACTCAGGAAATCTTCTATCGTCGAACTTCGAATCTAGATGCGTTGCCTGTTTTTTTCGATCGAGGAATTTACACCTCGAGCCTCAAGCGTGGAATCAAGATCGTCGGGTCAGCTCGATGTACTTCGTAGGAAAACGCCGTCTGGGCGTTTTGGGGGCTCTTTTTGGGCCGTCCTGGGGCCCTCTTGGCCCGTCCTGGGGCTTTCTTGGGCCGTCTTGGGGGGCTGGTGCCCTCCAGAGGTCTTCTAGGGCCCTCTTGGGGGCCTCCAGTGGCCTTTTGGGAGTCTCCCATGGCTTTCGTGGGGTCTCTTTTGGGAGCCTCCTGGGGGCATCTTGGGCATCTAGTTGGCAGTCTCGGGGCTCTTTGGGGCAGCCTTGGGGCATTGTATGGCCGTCTTCAAACCCTCTGGGGGGCTTCTTGGGCCGTCTTGGAGCGATGTCGGGGGCCCATTTGGTCGTCTTGAACGCTGCGAAGACCCAAGAAGCGGATGTGCGAAAAAGATACATGTTCCTAAGGGAATGTGGCGATTTTTGCTTTTTCGGGGCTGCTTTAACGGCCTCTTGGAGCGTCTTGGGGGCCTCTTGGGCCGTCTTCAGACCGTCGAGGTTCCTTCTGGAGCGCTCTTGTGCTGTCTTGAGTCTCTCTTGCGCCTCTGCGCTGGCCCCTTCTGATCGCCTTGAGTCTGCTCGCAAGGCCCGGCAAGGCGCCCTGGGAGGCATGGAGGGGCCGGCGGACTTTTTCCAAGGGCGTCCAGGGAGCCGCCGCGACGTCTGAAAGGGTGCCCGGGGCGTCCCTGGGAGGGGGGTCCGGTTTAAGGTGTGTGTGTGTGTGTGTGTGTGTGAGAGGTCTGGGTGACATATATATTTATATATATATATATATATATATATATAGAGTAGTGTGTGTGTGGGTAATATAAATATCATACTTCGGGTTATATATGTGTGCATGTATATATATAATATAATATGATATGATATAATATAATATATACAATATCATATATATAATATCCATATAATAATATATATATATAATAATATATAATATAATATAATTAATATAAATAATATAATAATATATAATATAATAATATAAATATAAATATAATATATAATATAATATATATAATATACTATAATATAATATAATAACATATAATTATATAAATATATAATATATTATACATATTATATAATATAAGATGATAATATAATATAATATAATATAATATAGATATAATATAATATAATTTACTATAATATAATATATTGTATTATATATATCATAGTATATAGTAGAGAGAGATAGAGAGAGAGAGAGAGAGAGAGAGAGAGAGAAAGAGAGAGAAAAGCTAGAGAGAGAGAGAGAGAGAGAGAGAGAGAAAGAGCGCGAGAGAGCCAGGCAGCCGCGGGGGCGAGGAGAGGGCAGCGGAGGCCGAGCGCCATCCCGCCCGCCCCGAGGCCCGAGGGCCCGCTCTCCCAGGAGATCGAGGCGCGCCGCCGCCTTCGCTCCCGCTCCCCTCCCTGCCGCTCCTCCTCCTCCTCCTCCTCGTCCTCGTCCTCCTCGTCCTCGTCCTCCTCCTCGCTCCTCCTCCTCCTCCTCCTCCTCCTCCTCCTCCTCCTCCTCCTCCTCCTCCTCCTCCTCCTCCTTCTCCTCCTCCTCCTCCTCCCTCCTCCTCTCTCTTCGCAGGTCGACCCTGCCACATCAAGGGCTCCCTCCCCGCCGCCTCGCCCTGCGGTCGAGGCTGATAACCCTCCCCCTGCCCCCCACGATCTCTGAGGGGGGGAGGGCGGGGTTCACTTCGCTCGGGAGCTCCCGAGCGAAGTGAACCCCGCCCTCCCCCTCAGAAATCGTGGGGGGTAGGGGTAGGGTTCGCATGTGGCCCCCTAGCTGATTCGTAGGTCGACCCTGCCACATCAGGGGGGCACCCTTAAGTCGGGCCTGTCCCTCTACAGGAGGAGTGTTCAAGAATATAGTCAAAAAAATGGTGCGGGGGCGATTCTTCGAATATGTTCTGACCCTTTTTTTGTGTATTTTTGGACTACTTGTTTGCTTTTCGTCCAAAATCCTTCTGTAGGGGGACAGGCCCGACTTAATCCTACAATCGAGGCTGAATAGTAGGTCGACCCTGCCACATCCAGGGTGCCCTCGTGTCCTGCGTTTCGCGGCCCATGCTTTCTACATTCCTGTCGTAATTTGGCCCTGCGGAAGGGTCTTGTGTCCTCCTCGTGTGTCCCCCCCAACCAACCTCGATTGTGCTCCTCTTCCCCCCCTGCCTCCCTCCGCGCTCTGTCCTTCTGCCCCTCGTGCCTTTCCCCCCCCCGTCGACTTTTGGTGGCCTGGGCTTCGTCCCGTCGCTCCTCCTCCTGCCTGCCCGCTTCGCTGCTGTCGTTCCTGCTGGCTCGGGAGCAAGAGCCGGTCACTCAGCACGTCGCCGAATAACGTCAGCGTTGCGCACGCGCCCCCCCCCCCCCTGCGTTGCCCTGTTCTCTCCCTCCCCGGCTTTCTCCCTCTTCCCTCCCTGCCTCTGTCCCCGTCGTCGTCTCGTGCACCCCGCCCTTTTTCAATCTTGGTTTTTTGTCAGCGGTGTGCCTCCTTCCTGCGCTTTGATGCGCGGCCGCTCACCTTGTAGGGCGTGCCCTCTTTTGCCCGCTCTTGCAAGAGAAATGCCGAGTGCGCGTCGTGGCACTGGGGAGACACTCGCCATCATCGGATCAGATAGTAGAGGAAAGTTGCACGTTCAGTGCAATGACACAACCCCACGATGGCGCCAGGTACGCGATGGACCACTTGCTTAGGCCATCCGGGGCCTCCCCCTTCCTCCTTCCCGCTCTCCACTCTGAGCGCTGAGCGACACAGTCATGCTATAGCCAAGTGAATTACGAAGCCTTTTGGGGCTGCCTTGGTGTGCACGCCACTTGCGGTGACATCTCGCTTACCGATGCTAATGCTACTGCAACATGATTCGCATAACCTTGCCAGGGTTGTGGTGAGAACGCGTATCTGAAACGCGCGCGTCGGACAATCTGTACGACCCCCGCCATCTGAGACAAGCACCAATACAACGTGCACCATTGCTTGACGTAGTATGCGGCCTGCCCTTCGTGATTCAACACATGGTCTGGGTGCAAGCGCAAACGCGGTTCTGAAGCGCGCACCTCAGACACGATGTCTCTCATGGCCGTCCCTGGTCGTAGTATCCAGTGCAATATGCACGCCGCCTCCAGCCAATGAAGCCAACGCGTGAGTTCCTGCGGCGTGCTCGGCGCTCGCGGTGGCTATCCGCATGTGTCAATGGAGTTGTAGTGTGTGTATACCTATATTTATATCGACCAACATGTTGTCATCGTCCCACGACGACGCCCTTTGACCTGGTCGCATCCTTTGCGGACCGTTTTTTTGTTCTCACCGCCACTGCCCAATACCCGCGCCGTTTTTTCGCGCTTGTGGGATTCCACGCTGCCCTTGTCTGAAGCTTCTCTGACAGGATTCCCAAGGGGTCGCCCTACCAGGATCGGCTTCGAGATGATGTGCGCCAGCGTCAGTTCAGGCGATCGCAAGCATGGAGCAAGGGGGCGTGGATTAGCGACGGATCCCGTTTCCATGGGAACTCGCAGATTTCCGCCGCCGAACGAGGCGGCACCGGCCGCATTTTGGGGAGGGCACCTCCCCGGATCCATGAATTTTGCGACCGCGCGCCAAATCCATGGATTGCTAATCCATGTTTGCGCGTCCCCCATCAGTGTCCGCACCTTTGCTGGGCTTCCATACGTCCCCGTTCGGTTCTGCCTGCAACTACGCCACGCACTCCTTGGACGTGCTCCCTGGCGCGCACGTGGCGACCTTCTCGGTCTGAGTGTGCCTCTCTCCCGCGTCCCTTCTGGCACTTCTTCCCCGCATTCCCGTAGTGCCTGTGCTCCAGCGCGCCCCGCCGCCGCTTTATCACCGTTTGGATATCCCAGTTCCGCCGACCAAGTGTGTGTCTGTGTGTGTGTGTGTGTGTGTGTTTGTATGCCATGTTTCGGATGTTCCTCATGCTGTGGAGAGGTGGAGACCGCTCGTTGCTCTCCGTCGGAGAATGTGACCTTCACTTTCACCTTCACCTTTACCGTCCTCGGTGTAATTTTTTGTCGGGGAGGCGCATCCTGTGAGCCTCGCCTGCCCGTCTGTTAGTAACTTTGTTGTCCCCGCCTGGTCTCGCGCGACAGGGCTCGGGCCTCTGGCGGACGATCCGCGCGCCCAACGGTGCCGCGGAGCGCGGGCCTGCAGAGCCTTCACGATCCTCTGACGGACCTCTCGAGACCTGATGCTGCTGAGAAAAAAAGCCTTTACCGTCCTCGTCCTCCTTTTCCTAAGTTTTTGGCCTTTTGATGAGAGCCTCGTTCGAAAGGCTGGATCGAGTTATCCGTAAGGGCTTCGCCCCATGCCGCCGGCCCCCTGTCTCGGATAATGGGAGATGCAAAAGCTAAATCATGAGGTCTGGGCGCCGCCGTGAAGCAGTGTCGGGACCTGTTTGTTTTTCGATCCTGACCCTACGGATCTGCGTGAGCGGTGCCAGCAAATTTTAGAAATGTGGCACATCCCCTGTGTTTTTGGACCCTGACCCTGCCGATCTGCGTGAGGGGTGCCGCCGAATTTCAGAAATGTGGCAAATCCTTTGTGTTTTTGGACCCTGACCCAGCCGATCTGCGTGAGGGGTGCCGCCGAATTTCAGAAATGTGGCAAATCCCTTGTGTTTTTGGACCCTGACCCCGCCGATCTGCGTGAGGGGTGTCAAATTTTCACCCACCCCAGCAATTCAGAGCACACGCTCAGGGCGTGGTAGAAATGCCCGTTTTGGGCCTCCCCCCTCGCGTGGTCCATCAACAAGGAACAGTAAGCAGCAAGAAGCAGAACTGTAACAAGGAACAGTAAGCAGCAAGAAGCAGAACTGTAACAGTGGAAACCGGAAGCTGCAACTGCTACAGGAAGCTGCGAACCTTCGCCCTGCAGCCTGGTGGCCCCACAAGGGGGCCGGCGGATCTCCGTTCCCGTCCCAAGTGCGTTGTGTCAGGTGTCCGCTCCTCAGTCCATCATTGATCCTGCCCTGTCTACTCCAGATTTCGTAATAAAGGGGGGGGGGGTCTCATTTCGGGGGGGGGTCTCTTCCAGGCTATCTTGGAGGGCCTGGGGGGGTCTGGGGACGATGTTTTGGAGGGTTCTCCCACGGGGGGGGGTCTGAAATGGCTTGTCTTGGAGGGTCCAGACCCCCTCCCTTTTATTACGAAATCTGGAGTACCCCCTTGCTGTCAGGTCGCGGTGATTGACGACCACGAGTGGCAGGACACGGAGTTCTTCGAGGTGCACCTCGAG